TTTGTTGGGATTGTCGTGCGTTTTCCTTTATTTCTTCAACGGACTTATGGCATGTAAATTACTTCGTACATACATTTAAGTAAGATGTATCTGCAAATGTAAAACCCAAACTACAGTCTTGCTAAAAATATCGAAAAACAGAATAATACAAAAAGCGAGAAACTCAATTTTAAAAATAATTAAACCCAAACACATATACAAGGGTGTCAAACTGGTTACACGTTATTACTACAACATGGGCATTACACCTTGTAATAAACAAAACGACCTCGTTTTCACTTATTCGTCCCCTTTTACCATGTTCAGTATACCCAGCTTTGAGCATTTGTGGGTGTCACGCGGCCGGCGTCCTTGCCTCTACGCTATCACCTTTTCCGTTCGGTACTCCTTTCGGTGCCGTAACCGTACGCCGTAGGCGTCTCGCTACTGACTCCATTGCGGTGCTCCATCGTGACGTTTCAAGCCCAAATTGGAGAGTCTGGATCCCCTCCTTGCAACCCTCCTTGCAACGGCTGATCCAACAGCCATAAAAAAAAATAATAATAAAATAAAGAAATTGAAATTTTCATTTTCCCGATCTACTATACAGGTTATACGGAGTATACACCTCAATCTCACTCTCACTCTCCCACACTCTCACACTCACTCCTCCTCCACGGAACCCAGCCTGACCGGTGACCACTCCCGACGGCGACCCATTCGTAAACCCAACCCACCGCTGTAGCCCTCATTTTCTCTGCTTCGCAAACCATAGCTCCACCGCGACCACCATTGGCTAGAGCAAAGGAATTTGTTGAGGAGAACGTGGGTTTTCAGGCCATAGATGAATCAGGTTCATCCTCGAAACACTGAAAGCAAAAAGTTAGGGACTCCTAGGAATGAAATGTAGTACAGGAATTGAAGTGCAGAAATATAAAGAATTGTAAAAACTGGAAGGAAAAAGAAGTAAATAAATTGGTTTTTTGATCTTAGTCTAGATTCTTCATTCTGGGACTTTTTCTGCTATTTATACTTTCCAATGATAACCGTCGAAGTGGGCTTTCAACCGTCGAAATGTCCTTCCATGATTGTAGAACATACTCTCTCACAATCAGTCCCACTACGTCACTCTTGCAGTTAGGCTTCCCTTCTGATTTTGAATTTAAACTTTGTGAGTAACCGTTAGGCTACATCACCTTGTATCCCTCGATTGTTCTAGTGCTACGCAGATCCATTATTAGCAATACGGGCTGACATGTGTCTTTGGTTGGCAACTAGTATTAATTCCCTAAATTGCCCCCTTCATGCGACGTGTTGAATTGTGATTGGCTTTTACAAATTATATAGCCAACAAATAGATGATTATATTTGTTATTAACAGATATTTTTGGATGATTATTGTGCAATGGATGGTTATTATGTTTTTAATATATAATCGATATGTTTAATATATGAAATATTTTTAGTTTTGAATTTTTGATTTAATGGATTGGTTTAATAATAATATCAAAGTTGTCGCCATATTTGATTTTTGAAAAAATAAAAATTAATTTAACGAAAATAAATATCAAAAAAATTATTTTAAAAAATTATTTCTATTCTGACAAAAGATAAAATTATATAAAAGTGATGTGTTTTTAATTTTTTTTCACCAATTTATTTTTAGTTTCTTAATTTTTTTTCTGTGAAAATAGATTCTGAAAACCAAATCAAATAAAACTTTATAACAAAAAAAGTTCTAACATTATTCATTTTTAAAAATGTCATTATATTTCAAATAATATAAGTTAACTAATACGAAATAATTTATATGACGACTTTGTCCTTCAAATGGAATAATAATATCTTCAACTATCCTTATTTAAAATGAGATTCAAAATTTAGAATAAGTATATTATAATTGAAAGGTTAAATATAAAGCTCAAACTATAACAACGGTTAGCTTAATAAGTATATTAAAGAGAAAAAAGAAGGTTGGACAATTATTAAACCTTCACAATTAAAATATATATATGTATTGTTCGAAAACAACGGTCAATGTCAACCGACACTTTCGCAATGTCAACTGAAACTTCGATCCAGAGAGAGGGGGCTCTCTCTAGGTGGTTTCTGACAATGTTCCGGTAGTGTTCTGGCGATATTCAACGATTCATTTTATATTTTTAAGTATAGATTTATATTTATAGAATATAAGTCTACAGTTTTAAAGTGTAAATATGAATTTTTTATGTTCGAAATAGGAATTTTGAGATTTTTCTCTTCTAATTTCAGCATAGATTTTTAAATTTTCACACTTACAATGGTTTCCTCCTCTCTTAAGTCTTTTCTGGCAGCGGCGGTGGCGAAGTTGGGCAATAGCAACGGAGATGACGTCGACAAAAATGGCAGGCTTTTAAGCAGATTTTGCTTTTCAAACAATATCTGTGAGTAGATCGATGATTTTTCTTAGATCGTAACTATTTTTTTGTTGTTTGTTGTTTATTTTGTTGTTTGATTGAGATAACCATTTGAAATCTTGTTTATGTACTGTGCGTGTTTTATTAATATAATATTTTTCATATCTTTAAAAAATAAAAAATAAAAAACTGAAACTTCCATATCATCCAATTTGATGTCCAAGTTGATGTTGGAGGTCTAAAACTTCAACACATTAGAGATAAGTAGAAATTTTAATATAAATACCTTGAAAAAAAGTGCATATTATATGTATTTTTAATTATATTTTTTTTAGTTACAATATTATTGTAATTATGATTTATGAAATTCTTAGTTATACTTCATGTTATCTTTGGTTATAATAATTTTTTTTTTTCATTATAATTTAGAAAATATGAAATTATGGCATTTTCTTATTTAGTTATAGAATACTTATGGTACACAACTTTTAACAGGGAGGAGGGCACGTTGGGACGAGGAGGGTCACGTGCCCCCCTTCAATTTTAGGAAATTGCACTTTTACCCCTATTTGAAAAATAATTAATTTTTTAAATTCAAAGTATGTCATAATTTTTTATATCTCATCTTCTACTTTTTTTTTTTTTTTTTTTTTTTTTTATTTTGACAAAATCTTTGCAAAACCAATAGTGTTAACCTATTAGTCAAAATTCTTGCATTTTTCATTATGAGGTTAGAGGTTCAAATATCTCAATTTGGTTATTGATCGTATTTTCCTTGTTATTTATTTATGATTTTGCTCTCTTATTTTTGAAAATATTTATTTATATTAGTTAAAAAAAAGATTTGAGATATAATTAAAAAGAAGTTAGAGGTTCTAAAAGTTGTGAGGTTCTATTATGACGTTAGAGGTTCTATTTTTTGAGTCATAATTAAAAAAAAAGGTTATAAAATATCATTTGAGATATAACCAAAAATCTTATGACTCATAATTAAAAAATAAAATTTATCATAATTAAAAATGCATATGATACATCTTTTTACAAAATTGTTATTTACTTACACATCTGTACAGTGGGAATTTATAATTGGATTGTAATATACCATGAGTCAATGATAGCGTGAAATTATGATTATTTCTTTCTCGGAATTATGACGGAAGATTTGAATTGTGTTATCGTGTGAAGACACAAGAAACTGGTCACGGGATATCAAATGTAAGTATTGTTTCTTACACTTGTAAATTAAAATTTTATAATCAAAAAAGTAAAAATTAAAAATACTTCTTCAAGCATTATATTAGGTAAATTATTATATCACAGGAGATGAGAGGCCATTTAAGATTTAATTTTAATATCATGTTGAAATATTCAGTTTAAAATTAATTGATCATTGAAAAAAATATCCTTGCATTATATCAACTTTTTTATTTTTATTTTTCGAAGGCTTGAAGCAAACAACTCCTCAGAGACTAAAAGAAAACAGAAACTCCTCCATCCAGATGCGAGGCTCAAAACACTGAATAGCCATCCTAGCTAAACCATGGGCCGCCCGATTTCGCTGTCGCATGACAATGACACGCACCAAAGCTATGCAAAGACCTGGACCAACGCCTAATTCGCTGCATTATAATTAACTTGAGTGGAGATTAAACCGAATTAGCGGAGATGGGTGATAGAGGATGGTTTGGGAAGAAATAGATGTTTAAAAAAGGAAAAATGATATATTTATATTATTTTTATAAAAACTTTTTATTACAAGAATAATCATTAGTTTTTTTTTTTTTTAAAGTGACATTTATCATATCATATTGTATTTTTTAAAATAATTTTTTGACCATTTATGAGAGAGAGAGAGAGAGAGAGAGAGAGAGAGAGAGGGAGATGTTGGTTCCAAGCTTGTATGCTGTGTGTGTGGTGCTCACTTGTTCTATTGAAAACTTTGGGTGGCCTCTTTATTGGATTTTTGCTTGGTTCCAACAAAATGGAGCTTTTCCGCTGCGTTTAGTTGAGAGATTTAGAAATGAATTTAGAAAAAAAAAAGAAAATGTGTGTGAAATTAGGTGAAATGTAAGTATATTTTATTCACATTACACTTTTTTTTTTTTTCAAATCCTTTTCAAAATCCCCCAACCACAAACAATATTAAGAGTCTGGTTTTTTATTGGTAAGAGTCTCATCCGAAAGGATTTGGATAGAAAATTTATATCGATGAATCATTAATGAATAAAGAAGGAAGTCGTTATTATCACTTCACTTTATTCTAAATACACTCACTTTATTCCAAACGTTGAATCAGGGATGGACTGAATACGCAGAACCCAGCAAAAACCAACAGGAGACAGAATCAAGCTGCCAGACAAAAAAAAATGTGATAAAGAAGAAGAGAGGACTAGGAGGAAACCCTAGGCTCTGATACCATGTTATAAAAGTAGAGAGAGAAGAGTAAAAGAGAAACTCTATATTGAATTGAATAATGAAAAACAAGAAGCCTGTATATATAGGTTGAGAAGAAACCTACATAAGTATAAAAAATGAGATAGAGACACATTAGAGATAAGTATGGAAAAGGTGATAACATACATCTACAATATAGATAAATAAGTATAAAATAATAATATACATCTAACACATACTATACGCGAGATCATATGAGAAGAGTGATTGGAAACCAATTATGATTTGTTTCAGTCGAGAGCTGCGAATTGGAGGGACACTTTGAACATCTCCATGCTGATTTCTAATCATCTTGACCCAGAAGAAATTCGCACAGCTTGCAGGTATGCAATTTCATCTGTATGCTCAAATCCTGATTTATCATATCATTGTTGATAAATTTGGAAAAACTTAAGCTATTTACTTATAGTTGAAACTGCTCTGTGATTTTACTGGGTAAGTTGGTTACTATTTGACCTTAGTAAAGTTGTAATTCTTTGGCACTTTAAACAATCATATAGTCGATTGATTGTGCTTAAGTTATCCCCTATAGATGATAATTAGGATATGGCGCATGGTTGCTGATTTAGAACGGGGTCTAGTCCTGGTGTTTGAATCATCAACCAACCAGAGTCACTAGTTATGTGATCAATTACCTAAGTAAAATTTCAAATCAAACCATCTATCTATATCCATGGAATATCCGTTCCACCTGTTCTGTCATTACCTATGTAAAAATTGAAAATCAGAACCACAATTTGAGAAGGCAACTAATACTATATTTATTCTTTATAATTTTGAAGAGCTTCAGCAATTGAGTACATTAAGAAAGTCACTAAGTTGGGAGATACTATGTTTGAGTTATTATCAGAGGCTCTTGGCCTCAAACGTGACCACTTAACAGCCATCGAATTTGGTGGAGGTTGCAGTTTTGTGGGTCACTACTATCCAGCATGCCCTGAGCCAGAGCTAACTTTGGGGGCTGGCAAGCACTCTGATCCTGCATTCCTAACTGTAGTGCTACAAGACCAGCTTGGAGGCCTCCAAGTCATGCATCAAAATCAATGGGTTGATGTTCAACCAATTCATGGAGGTTTGGTTGTTAATATTGGTGATCTTCTCCAGGTTTGTTCCAAGTCATATTGCTGTTATCTGTCACATTTAACAGAATTGCTATGTATCTAAAAAAATACTCAAAAAATTAAATTTTATGGTGGTGTGGGCTATGTAAAGACATTGCTCCCTGTTATTAGGTGGGCATACAGCCAACGTGGAGTTCTAAGAAGATATGATAATTACTCCGATCAAAGAGTGTTCTGAGTATTTTTTCTAGATACGTAGCATTGCTACATTTTTAAACTTTCTAATGTTTTCTTTTGTTTTGATTCAGATAATATCAAATGACAAGTTTAGAAGTGTGGATCATAGAGTGCTTGCCAACAATGTTGGACCGAGAATTTCAGTGGCATTCTTTTTTAGTGGCGTTTTTGCAACTCCAAAGCAGTATGGCCCAATCAAAGAATTGATAACGGAAGAAAATCCTCCTCTGTATAGGAATTTTCTGGTAAGTGAATATATTGGCGAGTTTAATGCTAAGGCACTTGACGAGTCTTTGCTCGACCATTTCAAGCTATGAAGCTATTAAGAACTATACATTTCCACAAAACTATTATAATGTAATAAAGGAACAAAGTTTCTGGGTATCAGGGTCTTTCCAACTGTTTCCTTCAATTTGTAATTTCCAGAACTATTTATATCATCATTATCATTATCTTTTCTTTTGGTACTTTACCAATGGAAGTCCTGCCAACAATGTCTTGCTTGAACCAAATTTGAGGACTGACTAAGGAAAAAACTGGAAGTACCCCTTTTTTTTTTTGGGTCTGTGGAACTTTCATAACACCAAAAGTGCTGTAGCAGTGATATAAATCTAGTTACAAAAACTTGATGCAAGCCTTTACATACACTAAATATTCATGCAAGCAACCAAAAAGAAAAAAAAAAAAAAAACCATAACTGTTGCAACACAAATCTCAATTGCAGACAAAATGACACTTAAGCGATTTTTTAAAAACTATTTTATTTCTTTCTCAATAGTACTATATTTGGAATTATGTTAATTGTTATTCTGTTACATTGTATTAAATCAGTATATTTACAACTTATCCTTAGGCAAAAAAAATTACAAATATTAACTCAGAAGCAATATTTTTGGTTCTTCCATTTATAGGCCGATTCTAAAATCTTCATATTTGATGACTGGGACTCGTACCCCTCATGTTTTATCAGCCGTCTCTTCTTGACTTTCCGTGGCTGCTTGACAGCCACGAAATCAATATCACCTATCTCACCAAAACTTTTCTCTTCTTAGCCACCAAATCAATAGCATTGCCCTATCTTCTTTCAATTCAGTTGCAGATATTCTAAACTAGTCAACTGCTCTCTCAAAAAATTTCGAGCACGTTGAATGCTGTTGGCTACATATTTTGTAAAAGCCAGTTACAGTTCGACACGTGGCAGAGTAAGGGTAATAAAGGAAGGTTATTCAAGCCTTTAATCCTGATCGTACACGTGGCAATAAATATTGGTCCTCACATGATCTGAGTAACACTAGATCAATAACGGGATGCAAGATGACATATCTTCAACGGTTACTCATATTCAAATTCAAGTACAAGAGGGAAACTCAACTACCAGTAATGGCGTAATGGAGCTACTTGTAAGGAAGCATGATCAGCGATCATGGAGGAGCAGTTCGACGGTTCGAAGTGCAGTTCGAAGGTCATCACTGACAAGTATAAATAGCAGGGCAGCCCCCAGAAAAAAAGAGGACTCAGATCATACAAATCAGTCATTTACTTCATATATTTTCTTTTCCAGTCTTTTACATTTCCAGTCTTTAAATACCTGTTCTTTAAATACCAGCACTTTAAATACCCGCACTGCACTTCGATTCATAGGAGTAGCTTCAAGTAAA